AATGTGATATTATAAGTAGGTGTATTAATTCCATTCATTTTATTCACTTTGCAACTATTTAGGTCGTCTTTGGAGGAGCATGAAAAAATGTAACGCTTAATTTAGTTGCTGTATACTTAAATAAAAGAACATCCTGAAAGATGTTATTAATTTAGTTCAAATTTTATTTCAAACGTCCCTTGTAATGTTCTAACTATTGTAGTACATTTCCAGCGCATAATAAATCCCTTTGAATCATTAAGGCATCGGATTACAAGTCCCCTTGGACAGTTAGTAACTCAGTGTTTGCATATAAGAGATTTTTTGTTCATATACTACCAGTCACATCGAGGCAAGTTGCTTTTTTATCTACTCAACTTACCGACATGCCTCATGCAGAACATTTACTTTACTAATGAAATACATATCTGGCCAGTTTGAAAAGGGGAATATCGAATTTCTCCCCAAACAGTCTTATCTATGACTTCGCGTGAGGTATAATTATAAATTCTACTGATACAAGAGTTAAACAAGTTTGGCTTCATAACGACAGCTATTACTGTACTAAAACTAAATACCACGCGATCATCATACATATGCCCCATGTTGTCTGATTTCATTTCCTGTTCAGGGTTCAATTTCGAAAACATTGACCAGGTTACAGTGACTACACAAAATAATTCCATAAAGTGGTGCTAAATTTAAATCGGCTCACTTCGTTCTATATTGTATTTGTCATGGCCAGAAACCCCCCCCCCCCAATTATTGTACATTTGGGAACCGAAGATCTAACCACTGATTAGTGGTTAGATCTTCGGTTCCCAAATGTACATACACTTTAACATAGTCAATTGATGAATGGTCAGTCAATGGTACAGCTGTCTCTGATAGTGCAGTTGTCATGCTGATTGGACTTCTGCTTCATTGGAATTTTGCAGTCATACCTTCGGGAAATTCCTGAGATGAATTGTGAAAACGAGCAGTACAACTGCCTTTTACCAGACTAATAAATGATGCAACAGGCTTCACTGACAATGCTAGAAAACATCTGTAATTACCGATTCCAACGCGCGGCGTCCCTTTGTCGTCGGAAGCCAACTACCTTTGTCCTCGCGACATTCAAACGGAATAGTCGTTGCCAAAGGTTTTCTATTGAAAAGCTTCGCATCCTCAGAATTTTAATGGCAAGGTACAAGGTTCGTCTGTCTTATAGCCTTTAATGGATATTGGTCTGGTGGGCGGGTTGCCGGGCATTCTCTGCTGTCTTATCTCGGTTGATTAAAGGTTAAACTATATGGTTGATTTTTTGTTATTAATCTTCAGGATTAAGTATCTGTGAGACCTGTGCCTGAGCATTTGGGAATGGCCAGCCAGACATGAATTAGTCCCCCCCCCACAACGCGACTCCCTCTTCGTGGCTTCCGAGTTGGTTCAGAGATGCTCCCGTTTGATTCGGCAAGGGCAATTTGATATTATTTCATTCATCATACGAATGCAAAAACAGAAATAAATAACACGGAAATGGGCAAAATAGAAACTAGAAATGCCTGTATTATTTTACAGTGTTTGACCAATAACCAATTCATCTCAAACCATATTACAGTTACTTTATTGAACTAGGGGGACATCATCAAATAAATCATACCACAACTTAGAATGAGTATTTGTAATATTATCAGATATTTTATAAAGAAAGTGGTGAAATAATAAGGGAATAAATATGGTGCTTGGCCAGTCTTAAATGGACTTGGCGTGCGCTTGGCGAGGCGCGTGCACGCAAACTTTTGACCAATCAGAATCGATTAAACTGTATGATATCCAGCCGCGAATAATTTTCGCAGCAGGCATTATCACTTCTCAGCGGGTATAAGTCAAGTTGCACGTTGTTGAATAGGGAGACTTTCTGAGGTATTAATGAATTCCATTTATTTGCTTAGTTAGTTGAATATAAACCAGCAACTAATAAGAGTCCCGGATAGGTCTAATAAGAGTTTTGCTTAGGGCCAACAAATGGTTACGTCCAACAAACGTATTCCCTATGTAAACACATCTCGAGCACAGCACCAGTATGGTCGCATGTTGCCAACATATATTTGCCATATTGAGCCTTAATACAACATTTGAAAAAATGGCCAAATTGACGAAGTCCATTTTTGAAAAAGGTGGCTTTGATTATATGACAGTTATCCTCCAAATTTCACGAGAGAGCCCAATTATTCAAACTTTGCTATCTTAAATAGGCTTAAAGTAACATGGGCCTGCAAAATTCGATTTCTTTCCAAGAAACAAAGCCCCAATCCTCCCTATTTGGGTAGTGTTCGGCATGCTAGAAAGGGAGTCAAGGAAGCACTTTTCTTGAAAGCAGTCCCCGTCGTTCCTTTAATCTTTTGAGTTATTTTGTATCGAATTAGTTTCGTTTATGAAAGAACTACAAATTTGGCTGGCCAAAAATGCATGGAAAGACTTTTTAACACAGTAAGTGCACTATGTGATTCCGTTCAAATGGCATAAGTGGATTAGGCACCTCGACAGATTGAGTTTGATCGTACCCGACTGGGCACTTTACAAAAGATTCGTACCATTATCATTAGGCTTTGAGCGTATTAACTAAAAATCCATTTACTATTAAATTAATATGAGGAATAAGCGGAAGAGGATATTGCTGCACGAGTCCCTTGGCTTAATATTTTACCGCCATGTAAAAGGTTTTATGGTTGCCATAATATTCAAAATAATTTGCCTTTGTCGTGAATACTTGACTAATAGACTAAGAGAAAGCCATTAAATGGCGCTGCATACATCTGTTTGAGGTGTAAGCAAAAACAAAAAGAGGTTTCATTGCAGCTGTATGTTAAGTGAAGCTCTTGCGTGTTACCACAGTGCAAAGAGCACACCGTTATAACGTGTCTTGATTTGTTTCTCACTTCAAGTAATTAGGGTAACAAACAGCCTTATTGATGAGTCTGATAATACGATCTTTATTTTTTCCACATTCTGGAAGTGTATTCATCACTGTTTTACAGCTATTTTTATCTGAATTAAGAACCCGATGCGAGGCCCACGCTTCTGCTGCGTAAAATTGAAATAATTTGTCATTTACTGTCTGTGGAAGGCTTAATTATAAACGTTGAACCGAGCAATACAACTGCTACTGCACGGACAGATGAATCCACAATTGAGAAGTCATGTACATGTATTAGGGAATTAGTTTGGGGGAAAAAACAAAAAGAGGTACACCCAGCTGGAGACCTTACGATTCCAAGAGTTTATAAATTTGCTTGTACATGCGAATACACGCAAATCGTCTATGGTTATAAAGCAGGCCACTTTGTTGTTGTACCATAGCCTATTAGCCCTAAAAGAAAAGGGCTTTTTCAAATTGTCTCAAAATGCGGGGACAGACTATGATATCATAAGAACTCAGCTGTCCCATACTCGATTTGTAAAAATGTTTGATTCCATTTAAACACATTCATTTGAGCACGTAATGTAAAGTTTCTTCTATTTTCAAGTCATTGGAAGGTAACACCTGTCAATGGAAAGATTTATTGGCTGGCTTGTCTTGGAAAAACGGGAGAAACATGAAAACGGAGTTCGATTTTCACAAAAGTGATGTGATTGCAGAGCTCTACTAAAGAAAGGAGGAAAGAAAAATATCCAAAAGGCAAATATGGATTGCCGCGATATTTAAGAATATGTCAGGTGACGGCTGATTCCTACCCCATAGGGCCTCCAATATCAAAATTGTTGAACAATCCACCCTGGACCCCACAGTAGTTCCAACTTCTCTAACGTTGCTCCCAGCCATAGCAGGTTTTTCTTGGGCTTAGGTCATACGACATGCAGTCACTTTGTGTTTGATCAGTTAGTGACTTAATACTGGTCCAATTGGCGCTTCATTCATCTAGAGGACCACTCAACCTGCTGCCTCGTTTTTGACTGCCGCACTCTGGAACCATCCATATGTATTACATGTCCTCAACCACAGCCTAGTTTCAACAAGTCCCAGTAATACAATTTTCAGCGTCAGCAGGAACGACCACCGTCCTCTGCCTAATGCAATTATGAGGCATCGGTTGCTAGGCCGAATTTCTCGCGATACGAAGCGCAGCATGAATTTTCGCCCTGAAATTAATTTTCGTGGGCTTGGATTACCGTGCCGGATTACGATCGTGCGGATCGATAACGCAGCTCTTCCCTTTTCACCAACAGTGTCGGGGGATTTTGAAGAGCGACATTTCTTGTGTCACGTTACCACGTCGTACGGCACTTGTTTGCACTGCATTTCTTTCGATGGCAAGAAGGGTTTATTTGCTCGGAGTGTCGCGGGGACTTTTTGATTTTCGTGTCTGATTCGACTTTGCAAAGCGTGTACTCTTACGATTACATATTCTAGTTACATTGGAATTGTGTTCATTTATTGTGGGTCAAGATATGAAGAAAACGTGTTTATAAATCACTGCATGGAATACGCTTGAATGTCAAACCAGAGTTCAAACTCTTGCACTATACTTAGGAATAACAAATCCAAAGCATAGAACAAAGAACGATCAAATTGCAAATTAATTTTCATCCACTTTTGACGACTTAGATCTATTCATACTTTTCAACTGTTGTGTACTAATTTTCTAGCCCACACCACTGAAAATATGTTTAATTTAGCTGCTTACTTACAGCTCTTAAATTAGGTATAAATATACTCTAATTAGCTTCATTTTTTAGATTCGTGTAATTTGATGAGCCAACTTTATTTGGAGCACAAAGTGACAGCTACAGACTTTAATTACAAGTAATGATAACCAAACCAGCATTTAATACCCACCCGTTTATCTCGCCAGTGCTCTTACATCTTCCTGGCCAGTGTTTGAGATGGTGAATCACGTGACAGCTCCCGGCTGAATAGCCGGGTTGGTAATGCGCAAGCGTACTGCTGGCCTGCACCTCTTGCCTGCACGTTCTGTGCTTCGCTTCAGGCGACCAAGGACTCTGACAGAAAAAAAACAAGCACTACATGGGGGATATACAAAAGAGCACGTGTTGGTTGTCGCACGCTCAGTCCGCGTAGATAGTCTCTGCCCACGACAGGCAGCGCAACTGCACGTAGTTTGGGCGAGTCCTATCGCCAAAGCTTCTAGCACGTCGGAAAACCTTCATAAAACTGTTAATCTTTCTTCTTTTCTGTCAGTCTCTCCATCTTGTAAGCTCGACTACAATAGTAATTGCTTTAGCCTACATTGTACAACGCTGGCTCGACGACAGTGTAAGTAATTGGCAAATGATGGCGGAATTGGAAGTTCTGAACTGCACGTACTGTGAGGAGCCACAGCAAGGGGCTCAAAGGGTGATACTCCCCATCATCATGGTGTTGATCGCTGCGGTTGGGATAACCGGCAACTCCCTAGTCCTCTTCATCATCTTAGGCCACCGCGACATGAGAACTGTCACCAACAGTTTTGTTGCCAGCCTGGCGCTGACCGACATCGCCATACTGGTCATTTGTGTTATCCCGACTGCCGTTGTCTACGTGACAAACACATGGAAGCTGGGCGAATTTTTGTGCCGCGCGGCCAGCTATACACAGGCAGTGAGTATATAAACACTCCTTTAAAAAAAAGCATTGTCAAATTCACAAGAAGACGTCCAAAGTGATAAGCCGAATCAGACAGTTTTAACATCACTCGCACCTAAGGATATCCACAGCAACTTGCTCTCCGTGTGTCAGACAATTTGTTTCCATATTTCACAATTTTTGTTCTGGAGTTTTTAAGGAGTTTTTAACGCGAAAACGAACACAAACGCGACTTTGTGACGTTAGATTAAGGGTTAATGTTTGCGCTGCAAATTTGCAAAAGTTGAATCCATTTCAATCAGAGCAAAATTTCGTGATTTTGTTCATGGCAAAATTGTTCATCTCAGTGTGAATAAAAATAGCCTCAGTATTAACCATTTCACAAAGTTTGAGCACTAATGAAATCCTACTCTCACCTACCTCGATACCAAAGATTCGAACTGATACAGACTTTGAGCACAGTTTGCTTTGTAGTACCCAAAACAAGCAAGTAGCTTAGGAGAAGACAAACCATCCGACATTCCAGATTGCGGTGCGTCAAACTGTACCATGATTGATGGGAAGATGACGTATTATACAAAGAATTGCCATGCCACATGTATAATTAAACCTTTGAACGTTACATCAAAACAGGATGTTACTAAATGCATTTTGGTCGTTGGGAAGTCCAAAAGACTCCTAAAAATCCTCCTTATGTTTTCACTATAAAAAAGTGGGCAAATAATTCAAGAGCCAAAGCCCCACTTATAAAGGTGGGGAAATTTATACCACATCCCCTGGATTTACGCCCCTGACTAATTGCTACCATGATCCTTTTAATGAAATTAAACATTTAACATGTTATTATGTTGGCATTTTTCAGGACTGTTTCAATTTGTATTTACTACAGCTACATACTTTGTGTCAGGAGCCAACAATTTGTATCTGCGTTGGGGAAGATACCGTAATAAATGTCAAATTACAACAAACGTCAACGTACATTCCCTAGAGAAAATGAATATTGTTGTTTGACTGATTGTTAAACAATGGTCTCAGGTGTTGTTCTACAGCATTTTTTCCCAGGAAATCAGGGTTTCCACCCAATTATCCTTACAAGCGCACTTCACTGTGTTTGTTTTCATAAGACAGTAATTTGCCCTTTTCTGAGGCGGAAACAGCATCTTCAAGGCTGGCCTGTGTCATTAACCATTTTCTATTCCCATGCATAGTAATCAACGAATTTAGGAAGCCGCTGTCGATCCGTGCATGCAGCCGTAATCACTTGTGACCGGGGCTTGTTTAGGGGGAACGATTTTTTTTTCAAAAAACAAGTCAAATTTGTTTCTTTCGTGAAGGAATCCTCACCCCGAAAGAAAGGTTGTGTTACCCTTTCTTAAATATTGGTTCTTTCACACACCCCTCATTTTCGAGTAGAAAGACAAGTTCCCACCTCTGGTCTTAATGAACAACCATGACGGAACGCATGATTTTTCAGTCATATGGAATTTGATTTAAAGCTAAACTAGATCAAAACAATGTTTCAAAGTCGAAAAATATTTGTGTCAATTTTATGAGTTCACCCAATTTTGTTTTGAGGATATTGTTAGAGGTCTCAAAAGGCTGAACGGATTTGGAGATACGGAAGAAGTGTAATACGGTGGATGTGACTCTTTTTGTTTGTACATATTTAGTGATTAATGGGTCACGTTTGAAGTCCACGATCGGATTAATCCCATCAGCAATGAGGCGCGTTTTGGTTTAATGCCACCACATAATTGGAAGACGTCGATGGTTACCACGGCAACCGTGCATTTCCCCTAGGAAAGCATTGTCCCTATCATTAAGATGGGTAGACAAGTTTTAATTGAAATTTTAAGATTACTTTTGTAATCTCGACATACTGCGGAGGTAGAAGAATACTGCCAACGTCTTTGCATTGTATGGTATTTTGTGGCTGTTTTGATTGTGAAGATCTTACTTTTTTAAGCAAGTTGTTGATTTCCCACTGTTTATTCACTTATTCGCTCATTTTGTTGTCGCCCACGTAAATTAATAAAGAATTATTAGCTTGATATGGATGCCACAAGCACGTGCCACGATTGGAATCAAGACGAAAAGTCATGGTTGGATATTGGGATGAAATTGCAAAATGAAGAAGAAAATTAATATTCCCACATTCGTTGTCTTGTTTGCAATGATTTTGCCACCCAAATTTACTCCACCTATGACGTTCATGAGTCTTTTAGCGTGAAGTATTCCAGATTTGGATATAAGATTCCTGTGCCCTAGAAGTAGTTTAGTTTTGTTCAACTTTGCATCCCTGCTGGGAAATCACTTTGCCAAGATACGGCAATTAAGGGACTTAAGTTGAAACTAAATTACTTTTTCAATTGAATAAAACACAGCTTGCAACGTGCACCTGATAAACAAATGAAGTGCAGGGACGGGCAGACAGCATCCTGCATTTTATTCCTTTCTATTTGTGGTATACCTTCTTTTTGTTACGAACCCTCTTTTTCATTATGAAAGGAAAATAAACTGCAAGGCTCTTTACCCTGATGCTATAAATAGCGTATTTCCGGAGAACAATTGCATCTATGGCAGGTCCCTAATGTGATTTACCTACAATTCCAAAAAGCTCGGCTGGAGATCGATGTGGCACTGTCCTGGCTGTTTTTCCACGCGTATCCGGTGTCGTTCCACGACAGTGCGACTCAGGTCGTCAATCCTTCTTGCCTACCCGTGGCCGGCCGGTTTACAGTGATCAGTGGGGAATTTGAAGGCCTGCGGCATACTTGATCGCAACTGGCGACTACTTTCATCCTTGGGCCCTCTTCATTTCGAATTACGTAACAATAATTTCAGTCGATTTGTCAGTTTCACTTCAAACTTAGTGCCCCGAGATTGTAGACCCCGTCGGAACTTTCAGATTGGACGCCTACAATATATCTCACTGCGGTGTCGGATTCCTTACATCAGGACCTTTTATATTAATTCGATAAAAGCTGTCCCTCTCCCGTCGATTTCTGTATGACTGACCTAAAACAACTGCCGCAGTAACTGGCAGTTGTCGTGGTGAATTTTCACGAGCTTCGCGTGAGGGGTTCTGCTTTGTAATCTGAAGACCGTATACACAAAATGGAACCATTTTCCCCAAATATGAACAGCTCTCTTGATGTATGCGAACGATCGAAACATTTTTATTAAGAATAAGAGATATTTATGTCACCTTTCGAATTGAACTTTGTCAGCCCCTTCCACGGCTTCGGGAGTTTTATGCCTTGCTTTCTACCGGTGTTTTGAGCCAAGGACCATTAATAAAGAGATTCCTGTGTTGCACTTGTTCTGTCGCTAACTGTTGGAAGTGCCTGGACGTGTCTGCATTGCTTTGCCGCCATCCAATCAATCATCATGGGGAGGATGTCGTGAGGATGAATATCGACGGGAAATAATGTGACAATTGTGAGAGAGTCCGGTATCGAATCAAGCGTCATCTCGCCTTTCCAAAGTTTACGCGTATCAATACGCGTATTATTCTGATGCAACAAGAGTGTTTATTTCCAAATTAGCATGATGAAAACATATCTCCAGTTTTTGGACAACAAAAATATTTCGCGAACTGGATATGCAGATAGATTTGTTAAGAACGGAGAAGTAATACGATTTACAGACAAGTTTTCTCTGGAAATATGATTTAACCGGCAGATGTTCACAGTTATCTTTCAAATTAACCTTCATGAGCGTGCCTGCCGGGGAATCATATGTATTACATGTAGATTGTTGCCTTCGCTGAAAACAGACTGACACAAAGTATTAATAGGCCTACCTCTTGCTCTAAAGAGCTGGGTTGAAATCCTCAAATTTCTCCGATATTGTACAATGCATTTATCGTGCCGAGCGATCCTACGATAACACTTTTATGGAAATTTGACATTCCGTTGGGGAAAAATGCCCACTTATCTGAGGCAGGTCAACCAAAGTGTTGACTGTCCCATTGACAGTTCAACGTACACCTAACGTCGTGAAGTAAGAATGACCATAAGCACAAAGCTGTATTTGATTGATTCGAACGATGCACTGATAATGGACAGTTTTTGCATGCATATCACATTTCAAACAGACAGGGCATGTAACAGCCGAGATCTTGGTTGGGACAGACTCTAATCCCCTCACCCCCATCCCACCCCACCCCACCCCGCTGGGTATGACATAGTCTGAAAAAAAAACAGTTGTGTACGTTAAGGTCTTTTATAGGCTCTTTTATGAAAACTCCTCAGCTCAAAGCATCAATGTCCGTCTTGTGTGTGCTACGGACGGGCCTTGCCATGTATGCAGCCTTTCCGAAATGTCTACTTTTAGAATCCAATCATAAAACAAGCCCTTGGTGAATTATTAAAGACATTCGCAGTATGCGCTGTCGGCCCAATGTAATGACTTTTCATTATTGACAGCGTGTGTAGTACGGTGGGAGAGATCAAATCCAGGAACAGAACAGTACTTTATTCCTCGTTTATAGCCTGGAGAGGAGGTATAAACCGCAGATATATACTCCTGTCCTTTTATCAGAACACGAACAACTTGCTGTTGGGTCACCTGCTGAAATCACTGTTCGTTAATAAATCACTGGCAATGCCGAAGGTATCATCCACTTCTTCAGCACGGGGGAGGAACATAAAAAACTCTACCAGGGCTAATCCAAGATATATTAGGGAAAAATGGCAGCATGCGGCATCGAGTTGAAAGTGGGATGGATTTTTGCACAGCTACATTTTGGTATCTGGGCAACTCCGTGACGGCCTGTGTGTGTCTACAGTAGTGCCTGAATACTCCTCTCCAAATGAAGTAAAGTTCACGACATCTGCTTGCAAGAGTTTCCAGACATGCTTATGAGTTCAAAAAAGTGTCCTCTTGATCCCCACTTTATGTCGTTGTGAGTGACGATATTGATACTGACTGTCTGTCACATTAAATTAACTGTCATACGCTCTACCAGAGAAACGCACGCCAGCTCCTCAGCTGTCTTGGTTGCCTGCCTT